CTTGGCAGCCAGCCAGGCACGCGTCCCAACGTGCGAAAGGACCCGTCTCAGGATACACGAGCGCAGAGCACGATTGGTGCGCCTGCGATTGTTGCGAGCTTCGCTGGCCTGTCTAGCGAAGGAGAAGCTATTGGCGCGATAGGAAAAAGGGCGCGGGGGCCCTCCGCGCCCTCCTCCCCCTCCTCTGCAGCCTGCTGCTGCTCCCGTCACCCTTCCTCTCCAGGCATGTTCTGATTGATTGCAAGCGTCAGTGCACCAGATGTTGTGGCCCAGCAACCCTGGCCATCATGAAAGAGTGGCACAGCAACGACATCACTTGTGCATGTGGACGGTGTTGTGTTCTCCCCCCCCCAGTGGAAGGCGCACCCACGTCGGGGGGGGGGCTGGCTGCATACCCCCCCCCCACCTTCTCAACGCGCACATCTCGCTGAATTGTCGCTTATGTAAACGCTGTGGGGCGCGGCTGGCAAGCAGCTGCTCTCTCGTTGGGTCAGCCATGCGCCCGGGCCTTTCACCCCCACTGGTAAAGCGCACTTGTCCCGTATCGGGGACGGCATTGCCCCGAAAGTCTTTAGCAAGTACAAGAATGGCCAACGAGGCCGAGGTTAGTTCACCCATCGGCTTACACCGCCACTGGTTCCTGCTCCTACTCCTCACTCCCCATTCCCCTCATCCTTCCCAACTCGCTCCTCGTCCTCATATTATTCATCCGCATCCTCCTCGTCATTCCGCGCCGCGGGCGATGATGGGAAGGCATCGGCACTCGCGAGGGCCCTAATCCGACAGCGGTAGATATTGAGAGGGCGCTTCTCGTCACAAGCAGGCAGCGTCGTTGCGAAGCCGACAGCGAATTCAAACCAGACGGGAATTGGCGTCGGTCTTCGCCCCCATCTTCTTCGTCTTCCATTTCGGTTATCTCGAGCCGAGGCGCGGGCGGGTATGGGGAGATGGAGGATCATGTGGAGATGGCGAGATTGTGTTCTGCCGTGTGCCGATGGCTATTGAACGCGTTCGCAGGGTCTTCGGATGGTTGCTCTGCGGTGTCCGATGTCGCCTGTCGAGTCGCATGGGGCTCTGGGCAAGAAGAAAACACGAGCGAACCGAAAACGAATAGTAATAGCCATAACGATAAGCAAAATGATATCCATAAGAATGTGGATGGTGAAGGGGGCGGATGGAAAAGAGGAGGATGAGGAGGAAGAGGGGGAAGGAAGGAGTGAGGGGGAAGGGGAAGAAAAAGAGGAGGAGGGAAGAATTGTGAGGAATTAGTGGAGGAGGAGAAGAAAAAAAGAAGGAGCGAGTGGGTGAGTGAGCGGGAACAGTCGTGATGCGAGTCGAAAGCGTTTGCGAGCGAGTTTCTCGGCAAAACCTTGAGAGACCATCGGGCGGAATATATCCGAATAACATACTCGCTTCAGTTCGCGTTCAGGGTCCCGAGACAACATTGCCCCAGGTTCCCGATCATATTACACGCATGAACTTACAGCTCGCGCAGAGCCGCAGATTCAGACCGCGATGCAAGCGCATTATGTGACTATTATGGGCCCAGCCTCCCGCTTTGTGTAGTCAAACCCCTTGAGGTAACGCTTCGAAACGGTCGTCGAGATCTATAGAGTGAAAACACGTGTTGTCCAGCCATTCGTTCTAAAAAGGGTTGAGCTACGACAGACCTTACGTCGTTTGCCACAGCCATCGATCGTGTGGTCATTGGCAGGGAGTTTCCCTGTGGAGGGAGGGGGGAGGAGGCGAAGGCGGCGTCAGCTTCATGTTTCTTCCGAGCCTGTTGTTTGGTCAGCTCCGCCTCGGCGTCCATCGCGTCGTTGGTGGCTCTGACCAGCCTGAGCCTGACCTGGTGGGCCTCCGCCTCGATCCGCCTGACTCGGTACTTGTCCAGCTCCGACATTCTTGCAGCTTGCGCCGCAATGTTGGCCAGAGCGTCCGCTGCAGCGCCCCCCGCCACGATGTGACTAGGCGCACGACATGCAGCAACATCTTCGTATACAAAATGAGATCTGGCCCACAGCACCACGAAAGATTCAGGATCACCATCACCGAGTGCACACCCGACGTGGTGCCATAGGTCCGCGTTCTCCCCTGATGGCTTCTTCCACCGACATTGGCACCAGCCATCAGCAATCGTACAACTGTTGGTGACAATACAGGTTGAGCCCTCCCGAACCTATGATGGCGACCAGCATGGCGAAAAGCTCGCCCCTTCAAACACTTTGCCGTGCGCCTGGGAGGTTGCCTGTGGCACTGGTTTCCAAGGCGAACGGTTCAACAAATCTTCTGTGTGCAGTTGCCACGCAGACTCTCCTGAAACGAACGTCCGCCGACTCTGGACCGTCATTGGTATCCGCGAGCAACCACAAAGGCTTGGTGGCCGACCGATGACCGAATGAAACGTAGGGGATACGAGTGTCGGCACGACTAGAACCATGTCGTTTGTCGGGTGTTGTTGGTGCGGGCACGTCCATCCATCTCGAAGGAATCATTCCCGCAACCAGAAGCTTTCCCCACCCCCGCACTTGGAAAAGCCTGTCCGAGGAGGTCTTTCGAACGATCGTACGTTTGAGACCCCACGTTCTGGCCGCACGTCCAACCTCGATGAAGCATGCACTCATCCTCCTCAAGACATGCTGGACATGTGTGTGACGTGAGTCCAGACTTACCCCAAGAACGGCCAACCTTCTGACTCTCGGCCAACTTTCACTTGTGGCAACAGGACTGAGGACCTCCGCCATGCGGTTGCCGTGGGACATGCTCAAGAATTGATAGCGCAGCTTGCGAAAGCATACCCGCGCCATGTTCCAATCCAGAACCACAAAGATGTTGCGAAGCCTCTGACCACAACAGACCGTGTGTTGAAGACTACAACTCTTGCACTAAACCGTTGAGCGCATCCACATCGATGTGTCTTGTCCAGGCCGTGTCTGAAAACTGATATTCGATGGTATCATCTTCGGCAGAGGGTGGCATCGCCAAGCAAGTGACGATGTGGGTTTCCACCCAATGCCGAGCAGCAGTGCCACCATAGCTGATAAACGGTCCCGAATGTGACGAGAGCGTTGAGGTGGAATCACGCTTCTCATGTGCTGCACTACCGCAGGCCATGCCGCTGGAATACCTTCCCTCAACCACGGCTCTTGCTGGCAATCTCTGAAACATATCCGAATACATTCCTCAGGCATGCTGAGCGCAGGATCGCTCGGCGCCTTGAGGAAGATGAGAGGTGTCAAACATCGTCCGCGTGCCGTTGACCCGCAAGCAGCTCGGAGCCTCCGCCTGCACGCCGTGAGAAAGAACCCGAAGACACCGTAGATCTGGAACGCGTGTGATCGAGCCGCCTTGGCGCCAAGCCTCTCCAGCTTGGACCTTCTTGCCGCTGATGTGTGCTTACGAATCTTGCCATGCATCTTGCCATATGTTTCAAACTGCACTCTCCTGGTAGATCTGACATGCCCACGTCCGTTGCCCAGGTCAGCGCCGAGATACTGACCAGCACGCTGCGTCCGAACTGAAAAGTCTACCCTTCGAAGCGCCCTCGAAACACGCTCCGTATCCTCATGAAATGAACACATGACGACACGTTTCTTGGCTACCTTCAGTCGGAGCTTGGCCAATCCCGAGCGCGTAGCCTTCAAACTTTGGATAAGTTGATGCACGACCGCCTGCCGACTGCCTGATACTTGCTGGGAGGGGTCGCCCACCCAAATACCCAAATGCGGAGGCTCATGCGCGGGTGGTCCGCACATATCTACTACAACGTGAAATGCATCATGATCCGTGCGAACCGCGTGCCCGATCTGAGCCCTTGCACGCTGGACTGCATGGGTGCCATGGACTCAGACCAAGCTCCATTCTGCCCAAGGGATCGGCACGCCATGCGCCGCAAAACCTCCGGACTTAAAAACCGTTGCAGGAAAAAACAAAATCAGACCATTGGGCAACAAATTCCCCCATTGGATATAATCGTAAAGCCTTATCTACTCCCAACAGATCATTGCCTGAGGGGATGTGCAGCGCGTGACCGCCTTCCTTCTGCAGCGTTCTGATGAACGCCTCTCGGAGCGCGGCGCTGCCGCATAGTACAACATCCCAGTGCGCAGCCGTGTGATCGCTCGACTCAGCCGCCATCGGCTCACGCACCAGCGACCACACCCGCGCGAACATAGTCAGCAGCCCGATGATCCTATCGCCTCCATTCTTCTTTGGAAGCAGCTGGCCCAGGACGAGGATGACCTGGCTGGGCCGTGCCGCCTCCTGCTCCATCAACATGTACATCTCGGTTAGCTCGACCACAGCTGATGCTGGGAGTCGTTTGAAATCGATTGGGCTGAGCTGACCGGTGCCTCTCCCAGCACGATCTTTCATGGAGCGGGCTGCCTGGCGAATCTGCCCGACCGTGATGGTTGGCAAGAAATCCAGTTATGCCCCCTCATTAGCCTCACAGAAGCATGACCTCAAAACATCTGCATCCGCTAAAGTTGGACACCAAAGATTCCCCCATGTCCCCGTTTTGCAATCAATGACATATGTCTGATGCGTCAATATCTCATCATATGGCTGAACCTCCAGCTGAACGATGGGGTGGAGGAGAGGGGGAGTGGCTGGGGCGGCGAGGCAAACAAGGGTCAGGGAGGAGAGGGGAGGGAATAGAGGTGTGGTGCTTCAACTATTCCCCATAACTCTTCTCCTGCTTCTGCCCATCCCATCCTACTTTTCCTCGCCTTCTCCTCCTCATCCTTCTCATCCTCCCCCCATCCCCTCCCCCCTGCTCACCCTCCACTCCCGCCTCCCAACTCCTCCTCTTCCTCCTCCGCATTCTCGTTCTCTCTCCTTGTCCCTCGTCTCGTCCTCTTCCGTTTTCCTCGTTTTTGCACCGCCTTGTTATCTTCTTCTTCTTCATCCCCTCACATGTGAAGGAGGAGGAGGAGGAGGAGGAGGAGAGAAGGGGCCGAGGAGGGAGGGGGGCGAGGAGGAGAATGAGGGAGGGGGAGGCGGAGGACTGTATTGGAATGGATTTTGACGAGGCACCATTGTCTCACGAGGGGGCATGGCTGCACGCGCGAAGCCGTGCCTGCAGCCTGTAGAGGTGTTGGGGCCTGTCAGGCGCGCTGTGATCGCTTTTCACGGTGAGGGGGCTGGCGTGGGCTGTCCGAAGAATTGAGGGGGAGGTAGAGGGGGCAAAGAGGAGGGCGAGGAAAGGAGGAGGAGAAGGGGGATGTGAGAAGACGCAGTGGCCATGTCACCCAGGTCTGCGCAACGCAGCAGCAAAAAAAGATGTTAGGGGCCGATGGAGGGGAAATAAGCGGACTTAAATATTCCTCAGAACTGAGGAATGAGGCTTCAGGGATTAGGTAAAGGACTTGAGGACACGCCCATTCCATGCCCAGATGTACTGTGGCGGTTTGGAGCGATACAATATTCAAGGAGCTTACGCCATTCCGCCACCCCCCCAAAACAAAGCATAAACAGAGCGAGAAAATCTTGGAGGCATGCTGGAAGCGGGATGCTTCTCAGCAGCCTCTTGGACCGTTTGTCGAGGTATCTGGGGGCCTTTTAGTGCCTCTTGCCCGAAACGGACATCGATGGCAAACGCGGGGAGGGCTCTTGAGGACTTGTGGGGGCGGCTGGAGGGGCCTCTGGGGGCTATTGGGGCCATCTTGGGGGGAAGGGCTCGAAATGTCAGTTCAGATTTCCCTTCTTGGGCCTCTCTTGGAGCTCTCTTGGGCCGTCTTGGGAGCCCCTGTGGCCGGCTTGGGCATCTCTTGGGGGTTTTGTGGGCCGTCTTGGGGACCTTCGGGGCTATCGTGGGGCCTTCTTGGGCCGTTTGGGGGCGAACTTGGGACAATCTTGCGACCCCTTCGGGCCGCCTTGGACGCTCTGAAGGTGCACAAGGCGAGCATGCTGAAATGTACGTTGTCCTACAGGGATGGGATGATTTTCGCTTCTTGGGGCCTTCCAGGCGGTCCTCTGGGAGCACTCTTTGGCCGTGTGGGCCGTCTCGAAGCCTGCTTGGATCACTGGGGCTGGCGTGGGCCATCTCGACACGTTCTTGGACTGTCTTTGCGTTTCGTTTGGCCCTCTTGGGCCGTCTTGAGGCGCCTTGGGGATCTGGAGCTGCTCCAGGGGCCCCAGGGATGCGTTTAGAAGCTCCTGCCCCCGCCAAGCCCTCAAACGGCATTTTGGACCCCAGGGGAGGGGGAAAGCCTTGTCACCCCTCTCACCCCACAGCCAATCATCTCACAAGCCTTTTCACCCCGGGCAAATGTGGGCCGGCGGACTTAAAAGCTGTTTGCCACAGCAAGGCACGAGCTACATGTTTCCATTCTCGAGTGGCTCAAGTTTCTGGCTCAAGGGCTTGGGGCTCAAGCCTTGATTTGTTGCACCATGCCTCCCTGCCAGGTCTGCTTAAGTCATGGCGTGGCCGGCGAGGCGATCCCGGGCTCGGCCTTCTGCGCCGCGCACGAGGCTGCGGGGCCTGCCCCGCCATCTCAGCCCCCGGTGGCGGCCCCTGCGGCGGCGCCCATGGACACCGAGGACGAGGGCTCCGGCGCCACGCAAGGCTTGGCTGCTTTGCACGTGTGCGATGCAGCCGACTCCGGGCTGGACCAGACGTTGGCCGAGCTGGACTCCATCGAGGTCGACGAGGAGGAGGCCAGGAGGATTGCTGCTGCTGCTGTCGCCGCCGGGCCCGCTGGGCTGCCGCCAGGGCTCCCGGCTCCGGGAGCGGCCACTGGTGCACTGCCCCCCGGGCCGCAGGTGCTCACGGACTCCATCCTTCAGGACTGGGCCGAGGGGGAGGTGTTGCAGCACATGCCTCTCATCCAGGCCTCCGTCCACGGCAACCCCGAGGTCCAAGCGATGACGATCAAGGTCCCCGAGTCCGCCCAGGACGTCTTGAACATCCTGCGGAAGCTCGGGTACCAGGTCGACTCAGAGGAGTGCTGGGACATTTTCGGCTATGCGAAGATGGAGGGCCCGGACCCCGCACGAGTGGCGCTTGCCGCTCGGAAGCGTGCCGCGCTCTCCCTGATCTCTCTTGCCGGGGCCTCCTGTGCTGAGGCCGACCAGCAGACCATGCTTTCGCTCAAGCTGAAGCTGGAGGCCGCGGCGCGGAAATGTGAGGAAGAGTTCGACGAGGTCCTGACGTGTAGGAGGAAGCTCAAGGCGCGCCTCAACAAGCTCCCGCTGTGGAAGGAGCTCGACCCGCGCGCCATCTCCCACATCAAGACGCTCATGAAGTGCCCCACCCTCGAGGTGCTCACCCAGTGGTCCAACATCAATGGCCACACGGACGACGGCTACGACAACGTAGAGCGAGCTCGCTTGGTAGCGAGCTTGAGCGAGAAAGGGGATGAGAAGCTATGGCCCCACCTCGCCGGTAAACGCGTGGTGATGTGGGCTCCCACGGACGGGAACGCAGCTACCAGGTGCTTGACATCTTACCTGAAGCTTGCGGACGACACGACACGCCCAGATATGCTGCTGTGGGTCACCCCGCTGCCGCTGCACACCGGTACGCACACGTTGGAGGGCATTCTGGACCATTGGTTTTCTCCCCTTCTTGCCGAGAAGTGGCACGCGGTGGTCAAGGAGGTCGCCTTTGTCCCATACCCGTTCGAGCTGATCATGCCGGCTGCAGTGGCGCCGCGGGCCGCCACCTCTGGTCTTGTCATTTTCCATCTTAACCATCGTCTCGCCAGAGTCCCACCTCGCATATTGAACTTGCGGAGCGTACTGGAGGTCACAACCGGGACAGTCGTCACGTTCGACATGCGGGCTGAATGCCTCCTTACCTTCTTGTCCTCCACCGCGACGCTCTTTCGGGGTTCTCTGTTCCGCCAGCACCGCCGCAGCCCACTGAGCAGGGCGGGTGCGACCCGGGTCGTGATCGATGTGGTCTTTCCGGCGACCGCCTCTGACATGGAGATTACCCTCACACTTCGCACAGCACGCCGTCGGCACCTGCCACCCGACACGTTCTACGGGAGAGCGGACCTGTACATCTCCAATGACGCGGCTTTCCTGGAGCATCTTGACGCTCGGTGCCACTTGCACTTCTGGCCCCTCTGTTCAGAGTTACTGTGGGTGGACGCGAAGAAGTTCCTCGTCATCACGGAGGCCTCCGAGGATACCTGGACGAGCACGATGAACGACGTCATGAATCGCGACGGCGAGGCGGCGGCCACGAAGCTTAGGTGGAAGCCCTCGCGATGTGGTGGTCGCACGATCGCCTCTCCGTCGAAGACTTCTGCGGCCCTCGCGGCGGGCAGACGCCAGGGCAATCGAGTTTCTGCGTTCATGGATTCTGTTGCGGAGATCTCGGTGCAGGGAGAATTGGGCCATCAGGATGCGGATATTATGTGCCGGCTGATGTCACACGTGTCGAACACTACAGGCATCCCCCTCGCTGCGGCTGCAGATCCCGACAGGCCCAAAGCAGGCGAATTCGTCCACCTGGCCAGCCGTGACCCCTCGGCTCCGGCAGGCACGCTCCGGGTGTTCCTCCAAGATCTTGATGGTGTTCGTAAGTTGTACGCCGGTCTGCATGGGCAAGCAGTTTCGGTCAACGGCGACTACGTGTACATCAGCGTGGCCAACGACGCTGTCTCGGTCGAGGCCGCGTCGGGAAAGGACCCGAGGCCGCGGAACTAGGGGTCCGCCGCGGCCTCCAACCACGGGGACCTCCCTGGCAGGCCCATGGCGGGCTGGGAATTCGATGCATTAATTTGGACGGCTTGATTCTCTTCTTCGCTGAGGTCTCCTTCGCCTTCCGGCCGTCAGAGTCGACATTGCCAGGTCCACGACGAGCTGGCGACCGACCCCCGGCTGTTTCTTCTAGCACTGTCTCACGGTCACGGTCTCCGCGACGTTCTTCTACTCCGTCTTCTATGCAACCACTCGTGCTACTAGGTGATCGCCTTCTCCCTCCGATACCACCGCTCGTTTTCAAGAGCAACGAAGTGATGCCGATTCCTACGGCACTGTCGAGCTTCTCGGGCGTGCCTGTCCAGTGTTATCGTCGTCAACGGCTCCGGCGTGCCCTCGGTGATCTCCCTCGTGATTTTGTTCTACCACCACCTGCTCCTACAGCCGGTTCTGTTGCTCCGGCCAACCCAGATAACGCCTGTGGTCAGTACATGGGGGACTTCACGGTGACGACGTGGAACTCGCAGGCCCTCTTCGCAGTGGACCCGCAGCGTCATGCGGTCAAGGCGAACTACGTGTCGCAGCTTATGTTCTCTTCAGATATTCTCTTGGTCTCGGAGGCGCACGGCACGGTTGCTGGGAATGCTTGTTGGCGCGGGCCTCCGTGTACGACATCTTGGTGGTCTTGCGGGAGCACCGTTGGTCATGCAGGCGTGGGCATCGTCATCAAGAACGATTTTTTGACGAATTTCTTCCCGGACCCGATTTTCGAAGAGGTCTGGCCAGGGAGAGCGGCGCGCCTTCGTCTCCGGTCTAACCGGGGCTGCCTCGACGCGTGGGCGGTGTACTTTCCCACAGGCGCGGACGTCGGGCCTCACGAGCTGCACGGGGTCAGGGACGTCTTACATGCACGCCTTCGTACTTTCCCTGCTCTCCGAGCTCATCTCCGCGACAGAGTGGCATCGAAACTATCCCGTGCCACAGATGCCCTGACTGTGCTTGGCGGGGATTTCAATTACGTCGCAGCGGGCGACGAGAGAGTGTCCTTGGGAACCGCGGCCGAATCTGGCAGGAAAGACTGTCGTGAAGAAGCGCACTTCCAGCGTGTGGTTGCTCGCCCCTTCGGCTTGTGCGACATGTACCAACCCGAGCACACCCATGCCTCCAGTTCAGCGCGCTCGCGGTTGGACAGGATATACGTGAACTTCCACGTGGCTGATCAGCTGGATCGCCACCTCCGGCGCGCTGCTCGTGAGTGGCGCCCTGACCTGTCCGCGCACCGAGCCGTCACCTTCTCGAAGACTTCGCCTGCCCACGCCCGGCGCGAGGACAAACCACTCGCTGTCAGGGCAATTATGCACGACGATTTTCAAC